TTCCACACTCCGTTGGGTCACCCTTCTTTGGAATGGGAACAAATATAGATCTCTTCCAGTCAGTTGGCCAAGTAGTTGTTCTCCAGATTTCTTGGCACAGCTTAGTGAGTACATCCAGGGCAGCGTTCGTTAGCCGAAATACGTCAGTTGGTATACCATCTATTCCTGGGGCCTTATTTTTTGCTATTTCCTTCAAAGCAGCTTGAACTTCTTCCTTCTTCACCATAGGCTCTTGCTCATATGTTATTTCATTACATTCTTCTGTGTCTGCCAATTCCTTTCTATACAGTGACTCAGTATATTTTTTCCATCTGCTTTTAATACTTCCTGGATCATTTAATATTCTGCCTAAAGCATCCTTGATTATAGCAACTCTAGGTTTTTTGAAATAGAAATAAATAGCTCTTCATTCACTTGGCCAGGTAGTTATCCACCCAATTTCTTGGCACAACCAGGTGAATGTGTCCAGCACAACATCTCTTTGTTGAAACATGTTGATTGGTATTCCATGTGCTTTATCCAAGCCATGGTCTTTTTATTTACTTCCTGTGCACCTTAAAGTTAGACATTGAATAAAGATAACTTGAATGAAGAATTGGCATCTTTGAGTTGTGATCTGCCAAACGAACAAACAGGCCTGTTTTAGAAGGAAATATCCTCCTTAGAAGCACAGATGGTAAAATTTATTTTGGTCATATTGTCAGAATGGACCAGTTCTTGTCAAAGGACATCATGATTGGAAAGGTGGAGGGTAAAAAACAGAGAGGAAGTCTCAAATAAGATGAAATAACACAGTAACCTTAACAATCATCTTGAGTGTATCTCAGTCATTGTGAATGACTGGGCAGGATTCAGATCTGTTGTTTATAGGGTTGCTATGAGTTGTAGTTGACTTGAAACGTAACAACAATTTCATAAACATAGTATAAATTCCCATTTATGTAGGTCTCATTTTGTCTCTTGTGTTAATGCTTTCTAATTTCTTTAAGAAATACAATCCCTGGCGAGCTCTGGTGACCTAGTGGCAAGGAGCTGCACTGCAATCCCAGAGGTTTGTTGTTGTTGTTGTTATGTGCCATCTAGTCGCTTGCGACTCATAG